GTCTTCAGCAGTAGAATGTTGAGTCTTTTTGAAAGATTATCATTTGGAAAACTTATGTTCACAGAAACCTTTGGGTACTCTGCCACAGGATGGCAGTGTAACAGCATATGATGTTAAGTCTAATTTTTCTGAAGTGTTCTTGAAACACTGAAGATAGAATTTGTCTGTAACTAAGTGCAGGAGTGCTGCTTTTTAACTTTTCAAAATACCATTGTTCCCCTCGTATGGTTAGTGCACTTTGCAAATGGTTCAATTAAATTGTATTCCTTTTGTGCTGTTTTTTAGTCATACAATAAAGAGTAATAAATAAAGAGTAATGAATCTCCTGAATATCCCTATTGTATCCTACAGTTAATAGTATTTTATTTGTAGACTACTGCCCACCATATTTTTTTTTCAGAAAAGTAATTTATTATTTAAAATCTGCTTGTTTTGTTTCAGACTGTAATTGTTGATGTAATTCATCTCGTATATTTTTTTTTTTTTCAGGGTTGGGGCTTTTTATGAAATCAGTTTGGAGGCTTTTGTTTGTAGTCCTTTGGTAGGTTCTGATAACTCTTCTTTTTCAGTCTTCAAGCCTATCTTTTTAAACATTATTATTTATCTCTCTGGGATATTTTATTCTTCAGTATTTTATTAATGTTCAGTTCTTTCCATGCTTTCACTGCTTTGGATTCTTACTCTTGTTTGAGTAAGAATCAGTATTGTCAGCAAAACAGTGGCCATATTTAAACTTGGGGAATACTTTAATAGTTCTATTGCAAATATATTATGAATCCTTGCTGTTACCTGTTTCTAATCAATCTGTTGTGGAGTCATACCTTCACTGAAGATATTTGAGAGGTAAATGAACCAATGTAAATTTGTGTGCCTTCATGACAAATTTTCAAGCCATATTTATCAAAAACATTACTGTTTTGTGCAATTTATGTTTTTATATCAAAGCCATTAAAATTTATAATATTTCTGTGATTAGCCAAGGGGTAACATAATTTTGGACTTGTACTGAAATCTGAGTCCTTTCTAGGTGGACTCTGGTGATCCACTTGAATGTGTTGCACTTGGCCGATGCATAAGATGGAGCTGGTGTTTGTAGAGAGCACTTTGTGCTTGAGCATGTCTAAATAGCAGTCAAAGGAAAGATAGCTTGAAGCAACTTTTAAAATTTATTCAGTCCCCAAGAAAGATGGAATAAGTTTTGACTGGGACCAAATAACCTAAAAAATCTCATCTTTGTTTTGTACTAAAATTTTGCATTCAATCTAACATGCAGATTATTTCTGCAGTGATGGGCACTGCATTATGTGGTAATTCTGCCTCTGCTAGGATGATGTGCTGGTACTGTGCTATAGTCACTTTTGGTATCTGCCAAGCAAAAACAAAAACCTCAGCTTTAATTTGTCTCACTTAAATGCACTGCTCTGTTAAAGTTTGAGGTTTACATATGAGGTTACATATGAGGTTTATCAAGATGCTTTAGAAGTCAGTGCAAGTTGACATTTAGAGTAATTTCTGAGTAATATGAACTCAAAATGAAAGTTAGTGAATTACTAATTAAACATGTAAATGGTTTGATGACTGAAAGCAAAAGGAACAGAACACTACTTTTCATAAAATGTTTCTCTTTAACTACTGTGCACAGAAAGAACACAAATTGCTTGTAAAGATGCTTGTAGTTTTAAAAAAATCCTGCAATTCAGATACTCAACATAGACAACACCGAAGACTCTTCTACCTGTTCTGTTGAGCAAGAGATGAGGAATTGACTGAAGATACTTTTGTACTATTCAGTTTTCAGTGTTACCTAACCCTACAACTTTCTGTTGCCATCTCTAGAGTTCTTTAAGAATTCCATCTGGTTAGGGAGTTTTAATATATCTTTACCCTGTCACAATTCATAATGAGTATCTATTTTAGCTATTGTTTCTATGTACATTTTATCAATTGTACACTTTCTACATCCTACTTACATGCCTGTCTTGATTCTGTTACCTTCTGAGTACAGGCAAGACTTCATATATAAAAACATTTTTGGCAAAAAGTTTTTCTTTTGTCTGTTTCTCATTTCATTGTACATTTATTAATTCAGTTATTTTTTTCTGAAAGCAGAAATCTAATAGCTGTCCTTGATCCTTCTTCTTTTCCTTCTGTGTGATGTTTTTCTGTCAGGGTTCTCTGTCTACTCTTTGAACACAGACAGCATTTGCACTAAATGTAGTATTGCCTCTTTTCTTTTGTGTTTGTAACATTTTTTTTTCTTTCCTGATACAATTACCTATAGCCTTTTTATATCTTCTTGCTATTAAGCCATGTAATCTAAAGGCAGTTTGTCCTTCTTGTTACTTAAACTTTTTGCTTCAGGATGCAGAATTTAATACCTATATGTTTTGCTACTGTCACTGCAAAAAGGCTTTTCAAAGTGAGGGCATAGCAGCCTGACCACATCAGGGACAAAGATCTCAAATGCAGGTACATAAATCACTCAAATGGAAAACCTATTATATAATACATGTATTAGAAAATAGCAGGATCAAGGTTAATTGATTTATTCCTGAAATACTTACTAGATACTTCTACTTATCTCTTTGGTATTTTGATGAGCAAGGTTTCTTGCTAGGTGGTTTTATGATTTTGCAAACTGTTTAATGGCTAAGGTTATTTTACTAGCAGTCTTTTCCCAAGATCAGGGGTATCTCGTTCTACCTATCAAATGCAGTAATTTTCTATCATTCTCCATTTCAGCTCTTGATTCAGTTATTCTACTTTTACATGGCAGATCTCTGGTCTCTTGATTATTTATCTTACCTGGGCCTGCAGATCCTCAAAGAACTAAAGATTATTTTTGCATTACCTCAAGTCTCTCAGGCTTTCATATACAGCTTATTGAATCACCTTCTCTAAATGGTTTTGGTTTTCTATTTCCCACTGCAGTTCACTCCTCTGCATTATTAGATAAAGCTGGAATACACTTGAATCTTCATTCTTATATACATAAGTCCAGTTACTAGTGAATGGTTATGAAATTGCTTATAGCTCTCACTATGCTTTTTACTGTACTTGGAATTATTGTGTAATTTTGATGTTTCATAGCTCTCATCTTTTGTTTGCACTACCCAGACTTATTTACTTTTTAATACTCTGGTAGAGCCTGCCTTTCTCAGCCTCATTGTATTAGTTCTACTTACCTCTTTTAGTAATTGCAGCAATTGGTACAAATCAAGTGAGCTGTGGAGAGAAAAGTATATTTCGTATGCTTGCCCCAGAATCATAGAACACAGGACTCTGAAGTGACCTGCAGCCTCTTAGTCTTCTCTAAGGCAAGGCAAATCATGTACATATCATCACAGACTGTTCTTAAAAATCTTCCAGAGTTGGAATTCACACATCCTCTTCACCCACTGTTTGCTGCTGCATTTTTACTTATGGTCTGAAAAAGTTCATAGAACAACATGTGTTGGAAAAGATCTCAAAAGATAATCTGGTCCAACTTTTCACGTGAAAGGAAGCCTTCCTAGATGGGCTTATCTAGCACCCTGTCCAGTAACATCTGGAAAACCTCCAGCAGTGGGGCCTCTACCATGTCCCTAAGGAGGCTGTTCCAGTGATTGACAACTTTCACAATTTCTGTTTTATTTAGAGATGAACCCTCTCCCAGTGCAACCTGTACCAATTGCCCTTTGTCTTTTCCCTGTGGCTCTTTGTGAAGAGAGGTCCTCTGGTCTCCTTGTAGACACCCTTTAAGTACTGTAATACTGTGATGAGGTTCCTCTGAGCCCTATTTTCTCCAGGGAGAAAAGACCTAACTCCTTCAATCTTTGATCATCGTTCTGTCCCTTCTTTGGACCCTCGCTAGGCTGTCTGCTTCTTTCTTTCTTTGGATCAGAACTGTCCTGCAGGTGTGGCCTGTCAAGTGCTGAGTAGAGTGGGACAATTGCATCAGCTAATAATGCCTTTTTTGCTGCATGCATATGCATATTACTCCTATTACCTGCAAATAGAGTATATTATTGCCTTCCTCTATGCATCAGTTAGGAGGAACGTTCTTCAGAACTTGAATACTGAAATGATTTTTCCCCTTGGTCTTTTCTTCAGCCTGAACAATCTTGGTGCTTTTGGTCTATCCTCATAGATGACATGTTAGAGATTTTAGCCATGCCTGTTGCTTTTTGTTAGACTCTGGAATTTGTCCAAATCTCTCTTAAAATGTACCTGAATTAGACACAGTACTGCAGGTAAGCCCTTAGAGTTGAAAAAGGTGGAATAACAACTTTATCAATCTCCTTCATGGTAATCATGTGTGCTTTTTACCAATGGCATTGATACTGTTTACTCACATACAGCATGTCAGGCCTGGAGTTTCAGATCCTTTTCAGCCCAGCTGCCAGCTAAACATTTCCCAACTTGTATGTAGGCTTGTTGCTCTGCATCTACATCTTGTACATGTCCTTACTGAATTACAGTCTCCTTTTTCAGATTTATTTCCTGTTTGTCAAGATCACTTTGAATTATAGCTCTCCTGCCCAAAACGCTTGCAGTTCTTCACAGGCTGGTGTGTAACTGCCAGTTTAAAAATCTTCCTCTTTACTTTACAACCCACTTCAAGAACTAATGCATCAAACATCAGCCCCAGGGCAGACTCCTGCAGATTTCATACTGGTAGTGAAATAATGATACTTCTAAAGCTACTTCTAAATAGGTTTTCTACAAATTTTGTACCTTCATTGTGCATATTTTCTTCAGAGTATGTAACATCTGCATGAGCAGACTAGAGATATATGAAAAAGTGTCAAAAACTCTACAAAAGATGGATATATGGCATCTGCTACCTCTTCCTTATGCACAGAGTGTTACCCTTTCAAAGCATGTTACTCATTTCACAGAAAGAAACTATGATCTGACCCAATGTATTTTCAACAGAATTATGATGAGTGCTACTTCAGTCATGCAGTGGTTTGATCATTCATTTCATGATTTGGTTTTTTTTTTTTTTTTAATAGGAGTTGCTGCTAAACCAGTGGTTAGGTAATTTCCAAACAACACTTTTAAGCTTTCCCCTATGCTATATTTGTCCTTGCTGAGCCCTGAAGTTCCTTGGGATGGTTCAAAGGAGGATCACAAAAGCAGAACTGCAGAAGAGTTACAAGGTACGACTAAATCTCTTTTTTAGAAGGAAAGTTGTGCTGAGGTACTTTCAAGGCTGAGATGCTTACTAGGCTCATACTATTACTTGCAGAACTGGGAAAGAGTTTTGTCTCTGGGTAAACAAGAACTTTTGCTTCCTTCAGCAGTTACTCAAATGGTTGCCTGCTCATATCATCCATCTTGGCTTAGCTAGCATTTGTCACTGCTGAGAGCCAAACCCTTGTCTATGCTTGGGACATGCAACTTAGTTATCTGAGAATAGAAACATTTTTATGAACAGATTTATGTACAGGTACCTGGGTAAAATCTAACATAGGAACAAATTAGATGATTTAATGCTATTTCAATAGCTTCCAGCTATTAAATATTATTAAGTTTAAGAGTAATATACCTAAGAAAATTTCTTCAGATTTTCTGTTTTGTTTCATTTTGTGGCACTACCAAGTATGTATGCCCCTTTTGATTATTTTACTCCAAATTTATATTAATGCGCAGTTCTGAGTTTTGTGGGAGACATCCATATTTCACAGAATAAAAACAAACATTTCTTTGCAACCCCTGATATGAAGCCACATACTGGCAAATTATAGTTGTGGGTTGCTGATTTAGAAATTCTTTTCATACACTTCAGCAACACAAGATCTATGTTAGAGGCAAATAATAATTTGGGTCAAATTCTCCTGGTTGAAGTAAATGGAGAGACTTTCTTGCTTGCTTTACAGAATTAGTCTTTTATATATTAAATTCTTAAAATAATGGATTTTTACATAAAGCTGAATCACAGAGTCTTAACTGTAATATTAAATGCTAATATTTCTTTTATGCAAAAAAAGGTCTGGATGCTGAGTTTTCTGAATTCAGCATTCAGAATTTTCTGGATTTTCAAGGTGGCTGAATGCTATTCCCATTTTTACTAATTCATAGACTGTCTAAAAAATGCTGGGAAAAGAACTCCAAAAGTATGCTTTGGCTTCTTGCAACCACTGCACTGCAGTTCCACAAAACCCTATTTGTGGAGTAAAAGAGTTGGCCTCATCTCTTAGATGCACCTTGAAAAGGAAAATTTTCAAGATTGCATACATAAAAGTGGAAAAATGTATTGAATTTTCTATGTTTTAATTAATTAGCTGCTGACCCAGAATGGCTAACAATAAGATATTCCAATTTTACAGTCCTCTTTGCTCTTAAAAAAAGAAACCAAACCAAACCTATACTCAAAATATAACTATGTTTCTTAGACAGAGGTATACTAAATTGTCCCCTAGTATGCACCATTGTTCCAGTGACCCACACATGCTGTGGAACTTCATAGACTTTTAAGTAGTATGCAGCTGATAGCATTTGCTTGCTTCAGTCTTAAGTTTCTCTCTGTTGATAACTGATAAAAATATTATTTTCAGACAAAAACAGACTTTTCAATAAATGCAGTGCTTATTTTCTTTTTAGTAACTCAGAGATATAAAATTATATTAAAAATAAGGGGAGGCGGGATTGTTCACTGGAAAACCTTGCTCTTTTAAACTTGCTTTAGTTGTATTTTAACATATTTATCTCTTTTCAGTTAAAAGACTTCAAAGAATTTCTGGTTTTCTTGTGTTTTTCTGCCCTGTTTTACTCAGCTGTGATATAAGGCAACGTGAATGACAGAAGCATGGATGTCTTGAGCCCTTGTGTCAGATTGGTTTTATTGGTAATACATTTAGTCAGACATTTCGTCAGCTTTGTGCTCAATCATACAAATCTCATGCTGGTCCAAGACCAGAGAGGGAAAAGATTTTAACCTGCTGTTATCTGTACTGCTGACTGTCACAATGTTTTAATGAATTGCTGGGTTTCAACTGAAACTGTGGTGCCTGTTCCAATGTCTTCCCAAGCTGCCTGAAAGAGCATCCTTAGCCCCAGGCCAGGCTTATCCTGGTCATCTCTGTGGTGTTTACAGTATCTCAAGAGACAGGCCATGCTTGCTCCTTACCACTTTGAGACCTGGATTGGTCTCAAAGCTGGAAAGGGATAAGTGAAAGAGCCCATCTGCCTGAGGGAGTTGTTTTTTTTTTTTTCTTAACCTGTGACTGATAGAATGATTTTCTTCATCTTTCTTTTAAATCCTGGTATAGAAGATGAAATGTTCTATATGATAGCTTAGAGAAAGTAGAGGTGAGACAGAGAAGAGTAGAAAGAATTTGGGGGCAAGTTTGGTTTGGGTCCATATACTTGACAACTACAGAACAACAACTCTTGTTCCAAAAATGAAAATTTTGTTTCTTGCTGAGGTCATATTTGAAATAAGACTAGCTGTGATTAAGATACAGCTAATAAAGGTGTGACTTGCCACCACCATTTTCTCATTCATGATCACATATAGTTGTTAGAAAAAGCCAATAGAAATATTATGCAATTATACAACAGCTCAAATTGCTTAAACAGCTCAAGTGTGTACTACTTAGAAAAATTATGTTGTGAAATGACCTTGTGTGTAGAAATTCTAAAAATTTACCTGTCATGCTCAGTTTACACAGGAAAACCAATATAACCATGTGTTTCTTTGTTGATAACTGAAGTATTAAACCTCTCTAGAACAATCCAGCAACAGACTGCTCTTTAGGGAGCAAAATTTCATTTGCAGAGAAGTTGAAATTTTTCTCTATTAAATTAACTACCAAGATTAAAGATTACAGGAAAGATACAAGGATGTATTTACACTCAGGTGGGTTTTCTTACTATTTCTTCTGTTAGTAGTTCTTACTCAAGAAAACTGTGCCAGTTTTTTCAAGAGCTGAGTCACAATTTCTATCATGGCAAAAATATTCCACTAGTTTCATGTCTTGGTTCTGCCAACTAACCAGAGAAGAGACACTCTAAACAGAGCATCCAAGGAGCACTATGTGTATTTTTGTAATTTTTCTTTATGTTTTTCTCCAAATGTAGTAATGTATTCCTAATAATATAATCTTTGTAATGTATTTAAATAAATTTATTCTTAATTTTCTCTCACATCTTTTCTGGTCCCTGGTTTGATTCCATGGTGAGAAGTAGTAGATTTCCAAAGGGTGACGTCCATCAGCAAGTCCTGACTCCTCCTAGAGCATCATGCCATTATAGAGGTTGAGAAGTTGTAAAGAATCTGGTGGAAACATCTCAAGTGAACTGAAATGCCTTTGTTACTGCTGGAAGCTTGAGTGCAGATTTGGAGAAAGAAGCTTCTTAACGAGTATAGGTAAATGTCTTTCTTTAGGGAGAGAGGGTCTGATATTCTGGGATTGTCTTAGATTGACTTGTTCATACTCTGCATAAGACAAGTTACTGAGCAGAGATACATCTTTCAGAGAAAAGAAGCTGAGGAAAAGTGGATTTTCAAAAAAATAAAAGGTTTTTTTTTTTTTCTCTTGTAGTGTTGGACCACTTCCACGCTCCATAAATACTCAGACATGCTCTCCCACTTTTCCTTGTGAAGGATGATATTGTGGAGACTGTAAAACATAAGCTTTCTTCAGGAAACAAAAAAGGAGTGATTTTTTTTTCTGAAAAGAGAAATCAGAGTATTCATGTAGGTTTCTCTGAGGCTAGGAAAAGTCTAGAAGTGAGCCAAGTGGGAATTTTAACTATGTGAAAATTGTTTATGAGAACCTCAGGACCCCCCTGAGGAGTGAAAAGATCCAAAAATGAACTAACAGGAGGAAGAGCAGTTTGTAGTTAGTCCTGGTTTTGATGTTCACATGGCACTGGGGAGATGAGGGGAGGTCTAACCCAAACCCTTCTAACATCTCCTTAGTAAAGATGTCCTTCAGAGCAGTGAGAGGACATTTTGGTGGTTGTAGTTCACTCTTCTCATATGAGGATCATACAAAGGCTCTTAACTCTGTCCATTTCAGCCATTTTGCCATAGCCTTGCCTTTCACATTTGGTGCATAATACACACATGGGGATGTAAACTGAATTCACAAAAATCCATAAAGAACCAAGTTTCTTTTGGAGCAAGGAGAATGCTAAGCCATCATTTCTTCTGTTTCTGTTCAAAATTGCTAGAGTTTTAACAGAAACTGAATACAATATGCTTAAATTTATTTTTTGTAGAGTGGTGTTGTCATCTTAGATTCTCTATGCATTTCTTTTCTCAGGGGAGTGAAACCAGATTTTTTTTTTTCAACTTTATGACTATTTTGTTCAACTCTATCCAGTACTAAAATGGATGGTAGAAAAAAAAAAAAAAAAAACAAAAACCAACCAACTGACCAACCAACCAACCAAAAACAGCAAACAAAAAAACCCACAAACCACCCAAACATACAAAAAAACCCAACAAAAAACTCACTCCCCTCCTCAAAAAAACCAAATCCAAAAGTGAGCTAATACCTCTTTTAAAGCAAATACATTTTATTTGACTGTTATATTCTGAATGGAAGCAAAAAATCATAAAAGTAATGATCCTTTTCCAAAGAAGTGAGAAATGGTTGAAGTTAAGAAAACAATATGTTACTCTTGTGTACTTAGAGTTCTGTATGAGCAGTAATTTAAAAAGACAATGTATCCTTGTTTAAAAAAGCAATCTATTTCCAACTTCTATGTGTGGCAGTCAAGCAAAAAGGATTGTCACCTTTTCACAATTTTAAAACACTGTTTCATTGCATCCAGCTTTTGTTTAAATGCCAACCCTTCTCCTCAAGTGCTGCATTATTATTCTCTGAACAAAAGTGTGTTGCTCAAGTTCCCAAATAATTTTTTTGTCCCGTTTCCTTGTGATTATCATATTAATTTCCACTTATTACTTTCAGAATGCACTAAATTGAAAAGTTTAATAAAAGTTTAAGTGACACCTTGTTCTTGTCTTCCAACAGACATCTGTACTGTACTGTAGAGAGAAATTAACAGGTATTCTATAAGGTGAGGAAAGCAGTCTGATTTTCCTGTTTTTTTCTCTGGGTTTAGGTTTGTTTTGAGTCCTTTCTCTTCTGGGGCAAACCAATGAATGCTAGCACCTTGGGGAAAACATACCAGGTTTAATCCAGAGATGAAATATTTTCCAGCTTAAAAATAGTAATAATAACTTTTTTTCTGTAAATATATATTATGAAGTGGGACTAGGTGTTAATTGATACTGAAGACTAATGAGCAGTGGTGAATCAATCCAATAGTAACCTGCTTGCTGCAGTTATTTGTTAAATTTTTCATATCAGTTTTGTCACCTTAAACTTTTTAAAAAATAGGTTACAGGTGTAAAGTCATCCATTATTTGATTTTGCAAAAACTTTGTAAAACAGGTTTATGAAGCTTTCTTCTTATCTCTTTCCTAAGGTGCAGTAGTGATGTATTTGCTCCCATGGTCTTCATATTTGGACAGCTTTGCAGTCCTACAGGGTGAAATAAAAATAGCAACTCCCAAGTATTTTATTAATAGGAAATGGGAAAACTTCTACAGAGGCTTAAACCTTGCCCAGTGAAGCAAAGCAAACTCTTACAGCTCTTCTGCCCTACATCCTAAGCATAGCACTCATTTAGCTATCTACAGCCTGGCGACCACCAGCTACCAAATAATCTACCATGACTCTTTCATTTCTGCTGCTTGCAGCAGCACCAGGTTCCTTGCAATTCCCAGAATAAATATAGGTCTTCAATCCTTACTGTCATTAATTCAAAACCTGACCCAATCAGGCCTGAATCTTGGCCTCTACTGCAGGCCCACAACCCATACACTGTGCCCGATGAATTGTGAGCCAAAGCCCATTTGCCAGCTCCAACCTCCTGCCCAGCCTTCCAGGCTCTAGCAGAAAGTCTGTCTTTTCAGTCCTCTGCTTCACTGGGAACAATGCCTCCAGCTACATCCTAAATCTGACTTTCAGAGGCAATTTCATGTAGTGTTTGGCGTTCTTTGTCCTCAAAGAACTGTATACTGATTTTGGTGAGCAAAATTAGACTAATTCTCCACATTTCCATAATGCAATTGGACTCTCATTTTGAATAGCGCCAGTAAAACAGAATTCTTTCCTACCACCATAGGTTAGCTGGAGTATATTTGTACTATATTTGAACTCCAGTGTTGCCCATTTAAAGTAAATGGAAACAGCAGAAGATACATGTTGTTAATACTTACCCCAAATTTTATTGTCTTAAATGAACAAGTTACTTGTCTGCAAAATTTCATTCTCAAATTTGACAAGCAGGTGCTAAATTTTAGCTGTGTATACCTAGAATTAGTTTTTATAGCTTGAAGCTATACAGCTCATGGGAAGAATAACTGGTACAGAAGAAAAATTGAAGGTCATCCTTTATGCCCACTGGTACTTGCAAATAGTTTCAGAACAGCAAGATTAGTCATGTCTTTCTAGCTGTAGTGATTATACAATTGCACCTAGGAACTGAAAAAATAGGCAGGTACAGTAGTACTTGAATTGTGATTTTTAATTATTAGTACTTCATATTTTCAATGATTTTTGGGAGGAAATTGAAAGTATCAAGTATTTTGCTTCATATGTTTTCTTCTGCAGAAAAGCTGTTTTGCTCCATTCTTGGGATCTCAGGAAGAGTAACTTTAAAACTATTTACTAAGGTTGTTTTTGAAAAAAAAAATTTTTTTGTCATCTTCTAAGTACATCTATGTGCAGTTACAGTTTCACTAGGTGAAAGGAAAAGCTGGTCGTTAATATTTTGTAATGTGCTTTAATAACTGCATACAGTAGCAATATCAAATAATGCTTTATAGTACTGATGTTAATACCATGACTTACTGGGAAACTTTACAGCCCACAAACTATGAAAACATAGCAGGTTTTACTGAAGTCTCATGGTGCTGTGTTATTCAATTGATGTTGCTCTTAACCTACTGACCTTTATCAGTACAAATATGTCAATATACACATACATTGCTTCTTGACAAAATCATCCTAAAAGTATAATGGTGTGATGACAAGACTTCAATTTTCAAGTTTTCAAGTGAATTCTTTCAGGTGTATACAAATCACAAGGGGACTGTGTGCCATCTGACAGCTCCAGGCAGGAAGGACGATCAGCCAGAGCCAGTCCAGATTACCTAGCAGAGCCTGAGCTTAGATGAGGCTCCTGAGCCAGTGGTCAGGGGATGTGTGAGAAGTCCCCAGGTGAGGCCAATAAAAGCTATTAGGCCCTCTCAGAGCACTTAGGGTGCTGGCAAAGGCATCATCTCCCTCTCCTGAGCCAAAGCTCTGTGCTAGCAAAAGTGTTTACAACAGTTAGTTGTATGCAGTATTGTCCCAAGGCTCTCCTTGACCTCAACATGCAGCTCATAGGTAAATACCTATTACACACTCAGAGTCTGAGAAACCTCAAAGGTTTTCACTTTATAGGATGGTGACATTGGAGATGTAGAACGGGCCTTCACAGAGCTTCTTCCTTCCTACATTCTGCTATGCAATGAGCCCATAACAGGAGTGATTCCAAGCACCACATCTCAGTGCACTTCTGAGCTCAGTACGTGCAAACAGTGTCCAGACCTCTTAGGCTCACTCCCTGTGACTATGGAAATATTTGTTTGTTGTTGAAAAAAACAACTGAAGTTTACTTTAGCCCTTTGTGTTCTAAAATATGTGTTCTTGTTTCTACTTACATCAAATAGTTGTATTTTCTTTTCAAATGGCTTTTGTGCTAACTAGTGCAGGATGGCAAACCCAATTTCAATTCCATGAAAAATTTCAAGATTTAGAAATGTTGTTCATCCCACATTGGGACAAAATGTCTAGATGGCACTCATTTGCGAAGAACAAAAATCCCCACATATTTTGCTTTGAAGAAAGTATCTCAGAATAGTATGTTCAAAACTGTTGGATGCTTAAATTCAAGTTTTTAAATCTTTAGTGGCAATAAACATAGATAGATAGATAGCAGATCCTCACTGCTTCTATTGTCTGGGACAAAGTTTTAACAAAGTAAGTGTTTGTGGTTTTTTTGTTGTTGTTGTTGTTTTGTTTTTTGGGTTTTTTTTTTTTTGTATATTGAAGTTCCAGTTTATTCTGAATTCTACAATAAATCTGAGAGGATGCTGTGGCAATAGTTTTATCTGTCATGGGCAATTCATTACTACAGATGTGCCTCCTGATAGTATGCAAATAATATTAGTTCAGTCTCATGACACAGATTTTTAGTCCCATGTAAACTAGACAAAACAATGCCCACCTGTAAAGTCAGAGGGCTGAAAGTATGGTACAGGTGAATCATTGCTCCTCATTTTTCTGGATCTTGTCTCATTATTTCTGAATTCTGCTGTATACAATGAACGACATTTTCTCTTATATATGTACTAATTCTATCAATAGCAATGAGAACTTCACATTCCCCGGTCAAACACTGTTTCTCTTTCACTGTCTTTTCATAACCTTTCACATGACATAGTTTAGTTAATTTTAGTTCTTCCTTTATTATTAAATGTTCAGTTTATTATTCTACTTCATTTTAAACAAGACTCTTCTTGTATTTAAAGTATTTTTTCCTCCTTATCCTATGTGAGAGTCTATTTGGCATTCTGGATTAGAAATATTTTTCTTATGCTATTTTCTCCATCTCATAGTAGTTTTTAACAATCTAAGAGTTTTGACATTTATTTTATTTTATAAGCAGAATTTTGAAATGTTGAGTTTTATTTTGTTTTGACCCTTTTGCCTGGAGAATTACGTGAGCACTGTAAAAAGATACAAGAAAAATATTTGGTCACATTTTTACCCTATCACTTCTGACGATATCTGTCTTAGTCTAAACAGGGTGTCAGTGTTTTAAGCCAAATTCTACCCATCATTGTGCAGGCAACCTTTTCATTGCAATGGGAAAAGTATATGCTTATTGAAAGGACATGGCATAACCTTATATATATAACTTTTCTTTTATAACATAGTTTCTTTTTTGGATGGCTGAAATAATTTTTAAGTCCAAAGAAAGGAAAAGTAATATTTTAAGAAACTTACAGTCTTTAAGAAACTTTTCTTTTGCATAATATGATAATTATTAAGGACTTGAATGTCTGGATCCTTACACTCTCCATCAAAGACATCTTAGGAATTTAAGAGTGACACACCTGAGGTGCTAACAATACCATATAGGCTCTTTCAAACCAGCTGCTGATGGAAATTAGAAAATATGAATCTGCCATAAACATTAAGGGATGACTTCTACATAAATCCTATTGGGTTTTGGATGTTACAAGGGCAGCTGCAGCCATGAGCTAAGTGAGACCTGCTCAGAATGTGTTCAAGCAGTTTCATGGTCTCATTAGCAGAGGCTCTTGGTGTAGGACCTTGGTGAGGTGCAGAGGAATTCTTCACCAAGATTTCTTCTTTGAAAGGGCTATCCAGCACTGGAGCATGCTGCCCAGGGAAGTAATTCTTCATCCTCAGAGGTATTTAAGAGACCTGTAGATTAGGTGCTTAGGGACATGGTTAGTGGTTGGCAGTGTTGGGTTAATGGTTGGGCTTGATGATTTTAGAGATCCTTTCCAAACCAAGGATTCTATGCCTGTGGTGGGTTTCCAGTTGCTGTGGATGTGATGTGTGAGTAGTGATGGCCTCCACAAGTGATCAGTGCTCTAGGGTTGGTTTGCCAGGCTTGCTTTGCAAGAAGGGACACAACCAATGAGGTTGTGAACAGTTTCATCATGGAGAGACAGCTGCCTGTGCTTGGCTTCCAGCTGCTGTGAGGGCAGTGCAGAGGGGGAGATTGAGTTCATCAGCACACTGCTGTCAGGATGTCCAGCCTCATGAGGAGATGCCCCACACTGGAGCCAGGCTAATTCTGTAACAGCAAGGTTCTTTTGGGAACACAGTAACAAGGAGCTGCAAACAGGAACTTGGCATTCAGAGTGGCAAGTCATGGAATTGGGAACATGCCATGGAGCTGGGGTATTTCTTGGGCTCTTCCAGTGCTTTCAGCTTGGTGAGCTGCTTTGGACTCCATTCCTAGCTCTTCTGGGGTATTTTTTTCTGTTGTCCTCGGTTTCAGACTCTACTGCTGGGAAATATTGATCTTGGTTAAAGATTCAAATATCTATTCAGCTCATGTTAGAAGTCCCAGAGCACAGGTCCCAAGGCACAGCTCTCAGAAGCAGCACTTTGCTCAGAAAGGCACATAGAAGGGGGCCAGAAATCTGCAGAAGGCTGTGTAGGACTCATCAGCAGTGTTGCACCACAGGGCACAGGTCCCTCTACCAAATAGAATAACTACCCGGTGATGCTTCAGAGTTTAGCTTTTATATTTTTCAGATTCTGTACTGTTTTAGTGTGTGGTTCTGAGCTTCATGTTAGGGGATATTAAGCTCTCTTCACATAGTAGGTAGACAAAACAATTCCTTCTCTAGCTGAGGACCAAGGAGAAATGATCCAAATTTCAGGCCCAAGAGCATAAACAATGTAAAATGAAGAGAGAAAACCAAGAAGGATGGGATTTCACCAGCAAAAGCTATTAGCCAATATGCAAATGGACCAGAACTTATAAAAGTGAGAGACCTTGTGACTGGTCATCCAATTTGTGACCATTTTGGGTTCATCTTGGGTGTAGCCCTGGCTGGGCTCTTGTACTGCCCAAGCTATATCCATCGAAGCCTTTAATTAATACCTACTTTATTCTTTAACTCCATCTAGCCTCTGTTCTAGG